ATAAAGACCTGAAATATTTTTTGTTAAACGTAGTTTTTATTTTTTATTATTTTCAATGATCTGTGTCGTTTTTCGAAATTCTTTGTGAATAATCTTCAAAGATATATCATATTTTATACATAATTAGAAATTATTTAGATGTTTTTCGAAATCATTTTTCGAAGAAAGAATGACATTGGTCGAACTTTTTCAAACTTTTATGTATTTTGTTAAAGGTTTGAAAAAATAGGTAAGTTTCTAACAGATCTGTTCAGCTCTACTAACATATATATAGGTAAGTTTATAACACATCTGTTCATATCTGTTTATAACATACATATGTAACTTTTATGTATTTTGTTCATATTTTGAATACTAAATAGTTCAATTCTTTCTCGTCTTTCTCATCATATCAGTAAGTGAAACTTTGCTAATACTTGTTCAAAATCACTTTTCGAAGTTGTTCAAAGTCTTTTGCCGAAGTTTTTCAAAGTTTTAAGTATTTTGTTCAAAATTGGGAAATATTAGGTAAGTTTATAACAAATCTATTTAGATATATTTATCGCATATTAGGAATTTCTTGTTTAATGTTTAAAAGAATCTGTAGGAATTTTTATTTTTAAAACTTTTACGCAAAAAATCGATTTTAATATAAAGGCAGATAGATGTCTTGGTAAAAGTTGAATGTGTTGATAATGATAAGGAAATCAAATTATTTTTTTTTTTATAATGTATAGTGTCCAATAATGTTCCATATAATTTGCTGTGTTTTTAATTTTGATTTTTTCATATAGATTTGACTTTATTTTTGTTGATTATTAATTATGCTTGATATTTCTATACTATGCAACAATTTGCCATTACATACAATGCCTTGTCAATCCTCATTCTTTGACTTTGCCAATTTCCGTTTAATATGACTTTTCTGTTGCTGAAAGTATGAGTTTTAATATATTGATGTTTTGGATATGTTTTGATGCTATAATCATGCAGAAATTTGTCCCGCCACATTTTTCTTAAAGAGGAATTGTTTAATGAAAATTAATCATATTTATATTTATAATTGTGAAATAATATTTTTTTCACGTCCAACAGTTTTTTTTCCTTTAATGAAAAATATGAGGCAATTTATTCAACATATTTTTTAATTTATAAAACATAATGTTGCATGATTCCGATAATCAAATCTGCAGAAATCATGCATTTTATTAAATAGTGGTAATATAAAAATATTTTATTATTACTACCAAATGGAAAGTCAAAGATAATTAATTTTGCACTATTAATTATGATCATATGGATTTTTTTTATACATATGTTTTTTCAATGAACTTTTTAAATGATAATATTGACAATATAGACTTTGCTATAATAATTATATAGATTGTGCTATAACACTAATTTATTTGTTTAATTCATTAATTTTTTTTAATTCATCTTATTATGCGTATAGTCTAAGTTTATAAATTATATGTCATTTAAATTATCTATACTACTAATTTATAAGGTTTTACCATTTGGGGGAGCTAAATTTTTAATTTTAGTTATGAAATTAATTTTTCTTATCATTTTGCAGTTATATGTTTGATGGAGTATGGCTGGAAATTAAATTACCAAAAAAATAATTTCATTTTTTATATTGTAATGTAACATGATCTGTATTATAATGTTTTTATTTAATATGTTTATTAATATTTTTTATAACTTTAATTGCTTATTAAATTCATAATGGAATAAAAAAATAATAATATATAGTTTCTGCACAACAATAATGACTGTCACGTTTATATATATAAATGAGAATAAGAAACATAAGTCTATATATATATAAAGAGGAGCAACATAGCATTTAATTATATTCATAAATTAAATTTTATTATCCCTACAAAATTTTCATCATTCAATTTTATTTTTAAGTTACAAAATAACTTGCTTGAATGTCATAAATTATGAGCATAAACCAATCAAGGGAATTATAAAATTGTACTCAAATTTTAAGTCACACCCACTCATGAAAATGGCCGGATGTATTAGCATAAAGAAAATGGTTGTAACGGCTCTTCCATAGCAATTACTTGATCAAAATCAATTTTGAGAATTATTTTCTTAATTCATATTTTTTCATAAATTAAATTATAATTTATTATTATTTTTTTATATTGTTATCTTTTTAAAGCATTATTCTCTGTGCAAATGCACAGGTTGATTACTAGTGTGGGATTAACTAAAAGAAACTTTTTTAATTTAGCCATTAACTAATTATGTTTAACTAAAAAAAATTCTTAAATGTAAGATTAGTGAGTAATTAATTAAAAAAAATGTAACTTCTTTTAGAGAGAAAGTGAAAATGTTTTTATTAAATATTTTATTAAATAAGATTAGCCAGTAAATATATATATATAGATATAGATGATCTAAAGACTAAATGTGATTTAATTTTTTTTATCTGAGGTTGGAGCCCACTGTAGCCCATGGGTGGCTCCGCCCCTAGTTATTGGCCGATTTGTTTTTCAAGCCTGACACCCGTTTTTATAAAGTTTCGAAACTCTTAAAATTGATTCTTAATTTTTCTGGAAATTGTGTCGAACTCTGTTCATGCTCGAGTTGCAGCCGTTTCTGTCACCAAATTTTATTTGATCAAAGTTGCAGTCTGTGCATTTCCCCGTCGTTTAAATTCTTTCCATTAGCCAGTTGAACTCCAGTGCCCATTTTCCTTGTCTTGCGGCCCAAGTGCTTTTATTTTTAAAAATATTCAGCCCAAATTATTTATCCAGCTAGCCTTTTTGCTTGGGCCGAACGCAAAGCCAACACGCGGCCAGGAGGTTTCATGGTAGGCCCAATTTGCGTGATCAGCAGCCTAGAAAATGCCCAGCCCGCTTCATTAAGTTCGGGCCGTGCGGCCCGCGATAGGCCCGATCTCAGCCGGCGCAGCCCGCCTCCTCTCTCTGTTCTCGGCCCGTGTGAAGCCCAGTTTTTCCAGCCTGATGAGTGACCCATTTTGTCGTGTAATTGCGGCCGGCCCAGTTCCATTCTTTTTTTCCAATGCAGCCCAGCAGCGCCTCAAAGCCTTCCCAGCGCGGCCCATTGCGGCTTTTTGGCCTTTTTGTGTCCCGAGAGCTTAAATTTGTGTCGAACCCATTTCTAATTATTATAAAATGAGAAAAATCTAAAAAAATTGTTTTAAGTCCCGAAACTCCATTTTCTTTACCGAATCTTATTCTTTTAAAAATTTTCGAAAGTTCCAAGTCCACGAAAAGTTCGATAAAATCCCTTAATCGTTGATTTTTGATTAAGTGTGATTTTTTTTATATTATTTTCGAGTAGTGAGATAAGTTATTGATTATTATCTCGCGTAAATGTAGGTGTTTGAGAAGTGGAGCCCTCGACCTACGTCCGGATTGTGTGATTTTGCCTACTCGATTTTCAGGTGGGTTTATTTAAATATCTATGCCATAAATTGTTTATATTTGTTGGACGGTATGATCAATGTATGCGTGTGAACTATGTAACGTTCGATGTGTGCTGTTTAGACATTCGAAACGGATCCCCGTCGTTGTGTGCTGTTTAGACCTTCGACGGTGCCTAATGATAGGCAGTCTCCCTTAGCCTAATGATAGGCCATGTCGTTGTGTGTTGTGTGTTGTTTAGACTTTCGACATGTACTCCCATTGTTGAGTGCTTTTTAGACCTTCAGTGACTTTTACAGGTGTGCACATGAGTATTATATGATTAGGAGATGTGATATTATGATTGATTCATGTTCATGCTGCGACCTATCTGTCATTATAATTGATTTATGTGCATAGTAATGAGCAAGTGGTGTGCTCACTCCCATGTTCCCCTCCCCCCCATTTCAGGTTAAGCAGGTGGCAGGCATGGCGACGAAGAGACGAGTGGCTGGTCTATATAATATTATTTATTTCTTCCGTATTTAGTGATGAACTTGTTTTATGATAAACTTGTTTGGTGTTTTTAAACAATGATGTTTCGAAAATTTGATGAACCTGATGATGTTTTGGGTACATGACTAATTGTTTGTAAAACCTGATGATTTGGTTTGAACTATAATGATATGGTTTTGAGATTCGATAATTATGTTTATCATGAGGATGATTGTGCCATGATGTATTAATTATGATGTTATATGTTTGGATAAAGATCCTTTGTGAAAAATCTGGGTAATGAATTCCCATCAGTTCAGCTACGACTTGAACTGTTATGTGAAATGAATGAGTAACACCGTTAAATGTTTTAAAACGAAAAATGAATTTCGAAAATTTAACTGTAAATTTTGGATAAGCCATGGATTATTCTTTAAACATCGACGGGGCGTTACAGTGTGGTATCAGAGCCGATCTACGTTTCTGTAGACTGTTTTATGTGAATTATGTGCTTATGTGAAATTGTTAAATGACCACACGTCTTCGTCATGTTGCGCCAGCTCCAGGTATGTATTTATTAGTGATAATGATATTGCTTATGATATGGTCATGATGATTATTGTTTATCTTATTAATTGGGGCTTAAAAAAATTCATCCTCCTTCGTTATAATTGTTGAACTTTAGTGTTCGAATCCCATGCTAATCCTTCGGTTTATATAATGTAGAGTTATGGCACCTCGCCGAGCACCGCGTAACCAGCAAGCCCATCAAACTCAGCAACCTCCCCCTAACCAGCATGACGATCACCGCCCAGACCGTCATTCAGTTTCAGCGGCTAAACCCGCCGACTTTCACTGGAGTCGAGGGACCCATGGCCGTAGTTGAGTGGATTTGCAACCTGGAGCGAATCTTTGATCTGCTGTTCTATACTGACGAGCAGCGAGTAGCTTGTGCCCGTTTCCAAATGGACGGAGATGCCGCCACTTGGTGGTCTGACTATTGGAGGCTGAGGCCGAATGAGCTGACTAACCTCACCTAGGTTAGGATTAGAGCTGTAGACGAGCCGAGCCCGAGTACTTGATACTCGCACTCGGCTCGATCTCATTTCGATCTAGGCTCGAGCTTGCTCGATATGATTAACGAGCTGCATGTGAAGCTCGGTTCGGCTTGTTACCTATACATTTGAGCTCGAGCTCGAGCTCGAGCTCGACTCGTTTGATGAGATTATACTCGTTAAAGCTCGGCTCGAGCTCAAAAATCCTGTAAATTATCTTTTTTGTTCTTTCTTGTAAAAATTTCTAATGTACCTGGAATAAGAAAATTACAAATAGGCAAAAATTGTAACTCAATCACAATTTCAAAATAGCTGAAAGTCCAAAACATAATTTTAAGTCCCGTCATACAAACATAAATACTACAAAGCATAATTAAGTTCCATCCTCCAAACATAAATATTACAAAACACACTGAATAAAAACACAACCAAATTTTAGTACATATTGTCCAAATTGAGTACAACACATTAAAAAGGTTTCAATGCCAAAAAACATTCACTGCAATTAACATCCATTGTTTTTTAAGGTTTCAGTGAATAAAAATTCTGTTTGAAAATCAATTTAAGAATGTTTATTAAACTTCCACGAGGCCTGGTTTTCAACTCATAATGATTCCGGATCCATTCATTACCACAAAGTAGTACTTCCACAGTCTCGACCGTCAAAGAAGCTCGTCGATCATCAATTACTCGACCACCAGCACTAAAGGTAGACTCGGAGGCCACAGTTGTAACTGGTACTGAAAGAATATCACATGCCATTTTTTATAATATTGGAAATCTCAGACGCTCCCCCTTCCACCATGCTAAAACATCAAGTAGTGCTGCAAACGAACCGAACTGAACCGAGCTTGGGCTGTTCGAGCTCGAGTTCGACTGATATTCAAACATGTTCGAGTTCGTTCGTTTATTAGTCGAGCCTAAATTTTTGTTCGTTTTCGTTCGTTTAATTGTTCGTTAAGTTCGTGTTCGTTCGTGTTCGGCTCGTTTAACAAATCGATATTTTTTGAACTTTTCGAGCGTTCGATTAGCTCGACTTGTTCGAATAGTTCGATTATCAAAGCTTACCTGCTATTATATATGAACAGTGGCAATCAATCAAAATTTAGAAAGTAAAATACCTGAACAGGACCAAAATAGCGATTACCAAAATATAGAAGTGCAAATAAAAATAAGTTGAATTCCAGCACATTACAGTTCTTAATAAACATCCAAATTCGTAAGTCTTAATAAACATCCAGTACATAACATTTAAGAACAAAGTCCAAAACAATAAAGCAACTTCAGATTTGATCAACCACCGTCGGCTCATCATCTCATTTCCCGGAATTCCTACAATTAACATAAAAGACAAGCCAAGACAATCAACATAAAATACAAGTGTATAATAGAAAGTTTGTATGGCAGCAGACAAAAAAGAAAAAAAGATATGGTAGCAGGCCAAAGAAAAAGATAAGGCAACAATTTACCAAACCAAGTAACCTGTTACATAAAAAAGATATGGCAGCAGACAAAAAAATAATATGGCAGCAGCCATTTCCACATTTCATGGCATTCTTGCACACAATTTAGATGTCTATTTGATGAAAATTTGAACCTGGCAGTAACATGTGCATAAGATAATATTATTCAAATGCACATAAAACGATTTCACATAAGTTAACCTGGCACTGGCAGCAACAATATGGAGCACGTCTTAAAGCAAATCAACTTCTTCAAAATGAAGATCTTCTTCAGGATCCTAAAACAAAAGAAAGAAAGTGAACATAGAACACATGATAATAATATTAAAATAATTATATATAACATGTTATATTAACAATACTAACCCGATTATGACGATTCTTGAGTCCATGGATATTTCGTACCCAATCAGATGCACATAAAAGCATTTCAACAGTCTCAACTGACATAGACGCACGACGATTATCAATGACTCTACCGCCGGCACTGAAAGTGGACTCGGAAGCCACCGTCGTAATAGGAATAGCTAATACATTAGACGCCATCTTAGATAATCGAGGATACTTAATCTGATTTACCATCCACCACTCAATTGCATTAAACTGGGCAGTTGAATCACAAATTAAAACATCTTCTTCAAGGTAAATATCCAAATCAGATTTATGAGACTTCACTTTTTCCCCCCCTTGCCTAACAAATGAGTCAAACTTGGACTTCCCAGTAACAACAGTTCTCCCAATTACTTCATTGCTGCTATTACCAACTTGAATATTATCAGGTCTAGTTCTCTTATTCACGTTTCGCTCTTTGTCAAGTTGAAGGTCATTATGAGCAGTGACATAAGTTTCATAAAGCTCATTTAACTCTTTCTTAACCAACTCAATGTTCACATCAGATGCTTCTTGGTAAAGTACGGGAAAAGAAAATTCAATTAGCTTCATCTTGTATCGAGGATCCAAAATGGCACTAAAAGAGAACAACAAATTACATTCTCCCCAATATTTATCAAACTTGGAAGTCATCGCTTGTGCCATAGCTCTTATATTCGAAGAACTATCAAGTAACTTCCCATTTAAGAGCTCCTTTATTCGATAAAGTTCAGGGAGAAATAAATTAGATGTTGGATACTCAGAACCCGATATCAAATTAGTAATTTCATGAAAAACACCCAAAAATTGAGTCACTCCTTCAACCTTCATCCAATCATAAGCATCAGGTACATAATTAAAACCAGGATCAATATCTCGATAACGTGAAAAGACATCCTTAACTTCTAAAGCAGCAGCCAACATCAAATAAGTTCCATTCCATCTAGTTGGACAATCAAGGATCAATTTCTTGCAAGGTAAGTAAATTTGTTTCACAATTTTGGAAAAATCAATACAACGAGCCTCTGAATTCCTAATGTACTTAATGCCTTTCCTAACAACTTCAATAACATCCTCAATATGACCAAGTCCATCTTGAATAAGCAAATTCAGAATGTGAGCACAACATCTAACATGAAACAATTTTCCATCCAGCGGCAAACATTTTCTCAACAAAAGATCACCTTTTAATCTCCTAATACAAACATCATTATAAGCAGCATTATCAACAGTGATAGAAGCCAACTTATCTTCAATCCCCCAATCAAAAAGAGATTTACTAAGACCATCAGCAACAATGATTCCGGTATGTGGTGGTGGAATATTTTTAAAGCTCAATACACGTTTTTGAAGCATCCAGTTAGAATCAATAAAATGCCCAGTCACAACCATATACTGAATATTCTGCCCACTCTTCCACAAATCAGTAGTGATGCTTATCTTGTTCACCTTATGCAATAATGTCTTAATTCTTTTCTTTTCAACTTCATAAGTGGACCGACAATCTTGCTTCACAGAGTTACAGCTTATTTTTTGATAAAATGGTGAACAGACTTTCATGAATTTATTGAAAATGGCATGTTCCATCATGGCAAATGGATATTCATGAACTAAAAGCATGTGTGCAGCAAGTTCCTGAACTCTAGCATGATCATACACAAAATTATTAAGTGAACTACCTTCCTCAGACTGTGAAAACGCTAGAACCTGTTGCTTCAAATTAGGATTTTGGCCGAGCTTAATTTTTCTTTGCAAACAGGAATTCAGATGTCTGTTAAACTGAGTTGTGGTGCTGGTCTTGTTCACTCGTAGCTTTTCATTGCAGTAGTTGCACTCGGCAATCTGAACACCTTTTATGTCGGCATAAGTTGTCATCTCTTTCCAGCATTTAGCAGTTTTCTTCTGTTTTTTTCTTTGGAATGGAGCATCTGCACTTTTTTTCTCGTGGACGGCTTCTTCTTCTTGGCCTTCTTGGGGAAAAGTATCTTCATTTTCAATCGCAGCAGCATCCATATCATCAATTAAATTATCCATCGGGATCGGACTTGTAGATGAACCTTCGAATGGAGATGACGGGGTAGTTGACATACCTATTAAGAAAAAAAAATATGAAACCTTTTAGGCATGCAAAGAAACATACAGAAATAGAAGCAAGAAATTGAGGGAAAATCAGGAAAATTGGCCCAAATTTAACTTACAACTAATGGCGGTATCCGTGTGGTCCTTACTGAAGCAGCGTCCCAGGCTTCAAGATGTAAGGAACTAAGGAGGAAGAAGCAGATCTTCGTCAAGCTTGAGTTGAGAGCGAGAGTGGAGCAGATCTCAGGCCGTGAACGAGGCGAGGGTGGAGGCGTGGAGTAGATCTCTGGCCGTGAACGAGAGCGAGGGTGGAGCAGTTCCCGAGCCTTGAGTTGGACAACTTGACTGCTTGAGGGCGAGCGTGGAGCAGATCGCCGAAAAACCACTTGAGGACGACGGGCCGACGGGATCGGGTGGGTGCGGCGAAGGCGATTTTGGCGAGGGAGAGAGTTGAGATCTGATTTTTAGGGTTTCTGCCTGAAAAATGTTGAAAATGAGTATATATAGAGACTGAGAGTAAATGTGTAAGTGCATATTGTTGACACCCGAGTTCGAGAGCCGAACCGGAGACCCGGTCTAGTGTGTAGGTGCCGAGCTGGACTCCAAAACCTTTTGAACTTGACCCACCTGCGAGTCCATCCGTTAGCCCGGCGTTTGCGACAGTTAGGTTCCGGTGCCGGCCTGATAAATGACGATCTGGAGAAAGGCTCCCCAGAACCGGAGGAGCAAAAAGGAAACAGGAGCCGACCTGAGGTCTCAGAATGGATCTCCAATGAGGAATGCCGATCTCGATAACAGTATAATAATGCCACTTGGAGGGTAATCATTGGTGATTGGACGGGAGATCCTAGCCTGCTGACCTACCTCCCCTAGCCAAGACATAAAGCCTGCCAGCATTAAATGACCCCCATGTGTGCATTAAATGCCTGTCAGGCAATGATGAGGAAAACCTCAAATCGCATTGAATTCTGTCAGGGAGGCGCCGGACTGCTCTGCAAGAACACTGTACGACAAGACCGGTGAACAGTACCTGAATAGTGTTACATTTAAGGCCACTATAAATAGCAGCACACTTCATTTAATTTTGGTTGTTGAATCCCAACTGTCTGAACTCTTTCTACATTTTCTCTCTCTAGACTTGTAAGAACTTCGCGTAAGAATCTGTAAGTATATCGCAAGTACCGGCCTCGTACGAGAGGCCGACCTCGTGATCTATTAATAAAACCATAATTAAACCGCATTTTCCTTATCTTTTCTACATTACCTTTTTATTATTCATCCTTTTAACCGTTGACCGGAAACGTCCGTCAACAGTTTGGCGCTAGAAGGAGGGCTCCATAAGTTACTTGGTGTCAATTTTTCGATCTTGTGAAGCTCCACATCGCACTCATCTTTTCCCACTTTTTCCACTTCCAAAAACTTCTCAACATTCCTTCATCCGACCATGATGACTCCACCCAGCAGTCCGGCTCCCAGCCTCATGGACGCAACTGCGGGGAGACCCCCCGTCGTGCCCAGCAGGGGCCCATAGTCCCTGTTCCACCAGTTCCTACCTTTGCTGCGGCCTTGCAGCACCCCCGATGTCCTCAAAGCCCTCGAGGGGGTCTTCGCCAAGGCCCTCGCCAGCCAGACAGCCGGGGCAAACACCGTGGTGCCCACGGAAAACTCCGGCAATACCCTGCTCCACACTCTCGAGAAGGAGGCCGGGGGGCCCCCCGGCTGATAAAAGTGTCGACCAGACTGAGGGAGGCTCCGAGGCCGACCTCGACTTGGACAGGGGAAGAAGGGCCGGCAAGGGGCCGATCACAGAGGAAGACGAGCTCGACCCCTGAACCCAATATGAGGAGAAACGAGGGACGAAAAGGGCCGAGCCTATGGACGAGGTTGAAGTCATCTTCATTGATGAAGAGACTTGTCAGAAGCAGCTCCGGATTGGGAGCAGATTGCCGGGGCCTCTGAAGGCCGAGCTGACCAAGTTCCTCCGGGAAAACACAGACGTCTTTGCGTGGACCCACGAAGACATGATCGGCATCGACCCTCGGGATGCCTGTCACCGGCTGCAGGTCGACCCCACGGTCAAGCCGGTCGTGCAAAAGCGAAGGAAGCTCGGCCCGAACCGACAGCGGGCCTTGGAAGAGGAAGTGATCAAGCTTAAGAACAATGAGTATATCCGCGAAGTTCGGTATCCGACCTGGGTAGCCATCCCGGTACTTGTGAAGAAGAGCAGTGGGGCATGGCGCCTGTGCATCGATTTCTCCGATCTAAACAAGGCGTGCCCCAAAGACAGCTATCCTCTCCCCCACATCGATTACATGGTCGACGCCACCTCTGGACACGAGCTGATGAGCTTCATGGATGCGTACAGCTTCATGGATGCGTACTCTGGCTACAACCAGATCCCCATGCATCCGGACGACGAGGAACACACCTCCTTCTACTCGGCGCGCGGGTTGTATTGTTACACGATGATGCCGTTTGGGCTGAAGAACGCCGGGGCCACCTACCAACGCATAGTGAATAAGATGTTTGCTAGTTTGATAGGTGAGTGTATGGAAGTATATGTAGATGACATGTTAGTCAAATCCGTGTACGCATCCGACCATGTAAACGATCTCAATAAAATGTTCTCTATTTTGCGTGATTATTCTATGAAGTTAAACTCGAAAAAATGTACTTTTGGCGTCGGTTCGGGAAAATTCTTGGGGTACATCGTCAGCCAGCGCGGCATCGACGCCAACCCCGAGAAGATCAAGGCAGTGCAGGACCTTCGACCGCCGACGTCGATCAAGGGAGTTCAGAGCCTGACTGGCAAACTCGCCGCCCTGAGCAGATTCATCTCAAAGTCCACCGACCGCTGCAAACCTTTCTTCGACGCCATTAAGAAAAATCACAAGTTCGAGTGGACACCGGCCTGCCAAAAAGCGTTAGAGGCCATCAAGGAGACCCTCAGCCAAGCTCTGACGATGCAGAAGCCTCGCCTAGGTGAAATGCTTTATCTATACTTGGGGATTTCAGAGGTGGCTGTAAGTGCCGCCATGATCCGGGAGGAGGACTCAGGCCAATTCCCGATCTATTACGTGAGCAAGGCCCTCCATGATGCCGAGCTGAGGTACCCTCCGATGGAGAAACTTGCCTTTGCCTTAGTAACTGCAGCTCGAAAACTCAGACCATACTTGTTGGAGTATTCTATCGCCGTTCTCACGGCCTACCCACTAAGACAAATACTACATCGGCCTGACACTTCAGGCCGGATGGTCAAGTGGGCGGTGGAGCTAGGGCAATACGACATCCAGTACCGACCCCGAACAGCAATGAAGGGGCAGGTACTATCGGACTTCATAGCCGAGTTCACGCCGGGAGTCGAGGAAACGAAAGGCGAGGAACCTTGGATGATGTACGTAGACGGGTCCTCTACTGCCGGACGAGCAGGCGGGGGGGTCGTCCTCGTGAATCCCCAAGAAAGGCTCTTTTGCCATTCGATCCAATACCTCTTCTCGGCTACCAATAATGAGGCTGAATACGAGTCATTGCTATCCGGGCTCGCTTTGGCCGAAGCCATGAGTCTGACCGATCTCACCATATACTCCGACTCAATGCTAATGGTTAAACAAATTTCCGGAGAGTTCGAGGTCAAAGAACCACGACTGGTTCCCTATTTGGGACTAATGAAGAAAAAGTTAGCCAAACTCTGGACCCGAATAGAGCACATTCCACGGACGGAGAACGTGCAGGCTGACGCCTTGGCCCGCCTCGCTTTAAGCGCCGGGGTGGAAAGCGTCGAGTATGTACAAGTCGCCCACAAGGAACAACCCTCTGTGCTCGGCATCTCCGTGATGAGCGCCGACCAGGCCTCCGCGGACGAAGAACCGAGTTGGATGGTCCCGATCCGGTCGTATCTCGAGACCGGCGCGTTGCCGTCTGACCCAAGAGAGGCCAGACAGCTCCGTACCCGGGCAGCTCGGTTTACGATCGTGGCCGGTGAACTGTTCAAGAGGGGATACTCGGCACCTCTGCTCAAATGCATAGACGAGAAGAACGCCGAGTACATTCTCAAGGAAGTCCACGAAGGCGTATGCGGAAACCACTCTGGCGGCTACGCCCTCGCCCACAAAGTTCTCAGGCAAGGATACTACTGGCATAGCCTGAAAAAGGACGCCCTAGATATAGCTCGAAGATGTGCAAAATGCCAGACATTCGCGCCGAACATCATCCAACCTGCACAGCCCCTGAAGTCGATATTCAGCCCATGGCCGTTCGCCAAGTGGGGTGTCGACCTGATCGGCCCCCTACCTACCGGAAAGGGCGGAGTGAAGTACGCGATCGTCGCCGTGGACTACTTCACGAAATGGGCAGAAGCCGAGCCGCTCGCCACCATCACCGAGCAGAAAATGATCGACTTCCTATGGAAATCCATCATATGTCGCTTCGGGGTGCCGAACTCGATAATCACTGACAACGGAAGACAGTTCGAAGGGAAAAAGCTGGAGGCATTTTGCGAAGAGCACGACATCAAACATTTCTTCTCGACACCTTATCATCCCCAATCCAACGGTCAGGTCGAAGCTGTGAACAAAATACTCAAACAAGGGCTCAAGGTTTGGCTCGAAGCCGCGAAGGGGGCCTGGCCAGAGGAGCTCCCAAACGTACTATGGTCGTACCGCACCACAGCCAGGTCATCCACAGGAGAGACGCCGTTCTCCCTGGCATATGGGATCGAAGCGATGGTACCTGTCGAACTCGGCCCCCCAACCTTCCGGGTAACTCACTCGAAGAAGAATCCAACTCCGAGTCGCTGAGAGCAAATCTCGACATGATAGACGAGCACCGGTCACAAGCCGAGCTCAGAAACGCAGCATACAAGAGGCGAAGTGAGAGGTACATCAATTCCCAAGTCAAGTCGCGCTCATATCAGGTCGGCGACTTGGTGTTAAAAACGGTAACGAGGCCTGATCCCGGACCACTAAAGCCGAAGTGGGAAGGGCCCTACAAAATCAGCGAGGTCCTTCCCCACGGGGCCTACCGTCTCGAACACCTGGACGGCACTCCCCACCAATACCCCTGGAACTCAGCATTTTTTAAGAAGTTCTACCAGTAGATCTAGGATAAGCTTGTATCTTCGTTTCGCAATTTTACCTTGTAAAAAATGAATGAACCTTGTGAAGATGTATGATTTTTATGTATTTACGTTTGTCTTTAGTAAGTATAGGTCGAGTCAAAGCGGAGTAATTAACGTAAGGAACGAAGTGTCGGCCAGGATCAGTACGATGACCTGGTCGGCACTAGCTGGGCTCAACTAGGAAGCCCAGTCAGGCCAATAATACCTCCGAGTCCAAACGCGAGACCGGTCAGGTAAGCTGCCACATAATTATGTGCAGGTCGGGTCAGTACGATGGCTCGGCCGACACGAGCCGGGCTCGGCAAAGTAGCCCGGTGAGGCCATAGCGCCAATGTAAGG